GGGTCATATGATTGTTGGGTTTTTCTCTGTATCTATGAAGCGCCTTGAGGCGACTTTTGTTGTGATTTGGCGCTATATAAATAAAATTGAATTGAAAAAGATATAAACATACATGTGTGCATCCCTGGTAGCTGTGAACAAGGATTGGAGAACTGAAACATTAGCTCTTTTTACAGGTTCCACATTTATAGTAAACAACCACCACCACTGTTTAAAGCTTTGAACAAGATGACTCAGAAGTAGGAAACGAAGCGACCCCCGATGGGGAAGATACTGATTTAGAAATGAAAACCACATTAGCAACCAATGTAACGTAAATAAACCACACATCACACTTAGCATTAAATCACAGTAGCATATTTTTCTCAAACACTGCTAAACAGCAACTATTAATTATTTAGTTAAGGAGAACCAGAGCCAAAAGAGTGTATACTGTATTTTCAAAATATACATTTTGCCACATTATTTAGGGAAAAATATGTAAAATATGTAAAAATATGATTAAATAAAGATGCTTTTTAATTTTTTTCTTTTTGAACTGCTGTTCCAAATCTCTGTAAAGGCCAGCCAATCAGAAGAAAGCCGGCTTAAAGTGGGTGAGCGCTAAAGCAGCTTGTTTCAGCCAGAGGATGTATTAAGAGTCTGTATCACAGTTTTGAATAAGAAAGAAATTGAATCATGCACAGAAAGTCTAGAAGAAATATTTATGGGTCAGGAAAGTTTAAAAGAAAAAAGTTACATCCCATAAAAAGCTTTAACATGGCTGGGCATACCTGTTCAACGTGGGAGGCGAGTTGTGGGCTGATGTAGCGAACACACCAAACAAACGGCCAATAGTTTCTCTGCTTGTAGTACACCTGCAACACAAGGCCAAAGGCTTGTATGACCCAGTCAGCTTCAACCAATACAGTAAGTCATTATGAAGAACGAGAGTTGTGTTTCATATCATATTTTCCTTAAATTTTAGAATTTAATTCGCCCTTAGTAACAATAAGTTATGATTTTCTGTTTAACTTTATTAGTCTCTCACGTTGCTGTGGAGCAGCTTCTCTACAACACCACTTCAGTTCATTTGCGGGCATTTGTTCATACACAGCTCTCACGGCTCCACCACAGCATTTCAATCAGGCTGAGATCTGGACTTTGACTGGGCGGCTGCACTACTGCGATTCTTTTCTTTTTCAGCCATTCTGTTGTGCTTGGGATTATTTTCATGCTGCATTGTATAATTTTGACCAGGCTTTAACTGTCGGACCAACGGCTTCACATTTGACTTAAAAATACTTGGATATGCAGAAGAGTTTAACAACTGCAAGATGTCCCGATTCATGTGGCTGCAAAATAAGCCCAAATCATCATCACTTCTCAACTACAGTTCTTGACAGCTGGTATGAGGTGTTTGCACGGGTATACAGTGCATGATTTTTACCAGACATGATGCTGTGCACTATGGACAAAACTCTCCAAAGTGCTCTCATCTGTCCAAAGGACATTGTTCCAGAAGTCTTATGATTTGTTCAGATGTGGTTTTGCAAGCCTAAGCCCTGTTGCCATGTTCATTTTAGACAGAAGAGTCTTCCCCTGGTAACGCTGTCAAACAAGCCAAACCTGTTCTGTTGTTTTTTCCCCCCATTATACCATCATTTAGCACTTAACATGCTAACTGATGATCAAACCACCAAAACATTTGCTTCTACAGGAGGTCCTCACACTTCCTGATGATCTGTTAATCAAATACATTTGCACTTTCCTGCGTCTTATCCTCCTAATTCACGGACGTAAGGGTGTATTTAGATTTCACAAGACTGCACAGTCCTGTGAAAACTTCTTTTTTTTTTCCCCCCACATGACTGTAAACCACCTGATAAAAATCACACGCTTCCATCCCGGCCAGATTTATTATGGTTTTATTTGTTCCTGATTAGTTCACATTTGTGTTTCACTTTTGTTTTTAATTGAATATGAAGGCAGGTGGTTTCAAAAGCAGGTACTCCCATTGCCATGATATGTAGAGTATCTGTCAGATCAGAACAGGTTTTTCAATACAAACACAGCACTTCTGTCAATATCACTCACATAAACATCCCAAGTCT